CACCCCCCACCCCCTTTGTCCATATATTTCTTTGTGATGTGCTATAAATCTCATTCTTAGCCAAGCCCGGTAGAAATACGCGTCACCTTATCTTTTCCAGTTTCCAAGTTAATTCACGGACATAACCCCAATATTGTATTCGAAATCACTGAAGCTTCATCAGTGTTATCTCCCCTTTGAAACTGCTAAGAAATATCACTCTTCCTATAATTTACATTCTGGTAGTATTTTGAATTATTTCCCTTGCACTCCTCTGAAATGACACATGAGTTGCGCCTTTCCTTTTACACTGCTACACATGCAATTTTCAAGACGCTCAAGAACAGACAATAAAAGAAAATCTTCAAGGTGTATATATTTCACCCAAAAGATATATAAAAAGGTACAGGCTAGGAAGATGGTTATCTGAGTGAGCGTCATGCAGACATAGAGAGAGAATATTATACTTTACACAAAGTACACTTGAGAGAAAGAAACACTGCGGGAAAAGTGTCAGCAGCAGTTCCACAAGCAAACTGCTTATAACTGCATTCAAAAGCAGACGTCATAAAGGCAGTCAAACGTCCACAAAGTGCAACTGTCTAAATACAGACCCCCAAATCATGGAAGCACCATAAAACGGTGCCCTCTTAAAGACTCAATACAATTTTGTAAAAACATCATCCAATGTAGTCCAAATGCTACTGGGCAGAGTTCATAAAGAAATAAGCATCCCACAGATGACTTACTAGTCTATATATTGAAAATCCTTCCATCTATTGTCTAAACCCGTCATATTTTCTATCAGAACCCCATTAACGAAGGGACTTCAAAAACCCATACAGAGAGGGGAAAAAACTGATCTACTGCTAATTATAGTATCAACACTATGTAAAAAAAAAGAGGATAATGTCTATATATGTCTCCAGTACATCACAACTGTTCTCCAGCCACGGGCAGCAGTACCAGAACAGTGAGATGAGTGGTGAGAGAAGTAGAGGCTGAGGAGAGGATAGAAGCCTGACCTACCTTGCGAGACACAGGCTTGGGCTGCTCCTTCTTGGCCTCGGCTTGGATCTGCTGGAACCTGGCGAGCATCTTCTTGGCAGTGTCCTTCTTGGGCATGCCCTCGGCCCAGTCGGTGTCCTCCTCTCTCACCACGTCCGGAAGGTGCTCTGGCTGGGACTCAAACACAGATGGTTCGTTCTGCGGCTGGTACTGGCCGGGCAGCTCCGAGGGGTGCACTGAGCCGTTGTCCATCTGTCCCGTGGGGGACATGGGGGTGCGCGGAGACTTCCTGAAAGTAGCCAGCATTTTGAAAAATAGTACGGTGTATCAAACCCAAATACTCCCCCCAAAAATCACCTTTTAACTTCAAGCGTAAAACTTAAAAGTTCGTAAAGTAAAATACACCGCAAGAACTATCAAGTCCCTAAACATAATTATGATGTGTCCGTGCTGCGTAGCGTTTTCTCATTTCAGAAAAATAATTTCCCTATCAACACTTCTTTTAAGACAGTCAAACTGATAATAAAGATGAAGGTATATTTAAGTACCTCTAACAACACTGTTTTAAAATTTGTTCCACCTTTTAAAAAAAAATTTACGATTTTTACATGGGCATGACTTCAAACTACTCTGATAAAATTAATAGTTATTCTGAACTTAAAATTACTTCTCTTGCCATATCTATGTATAAACTAGACATAGATATTTTAAAGTCCTTTCTCAGACTCAAAAAAAGCTACAGACATTCCTTTTTTTTTTTGGCATATATTTTTTTATCTACACATGGACAAAACAAACCAATTGAGGAGTGCACACACACACACACACACACACACACACACACACACACACACACACACACACATACACACAAACACACACACACACAAACACCCACTCACACACACACACACGCATACACACACACACACACAAACACCCACTCACACACACACACACACAAACACCCACACCCACACACACACACACACACACACACACACACACACACACACACACACACACACACACACACACACACACACACACACACACACACACACACACTGCACTACGCATACACAATACACATACACACACAAACACACAAACAGTGGCCTTGTTTTGGCCGTACCTCTGCTGAGCTATTCTGGGCTCCTCACGGGGTGGCGTGAACTCCTTGACCCTGCCCGCCGATCCGGGAGAGGTGGCCTGGGCACTCTGAGACTCCATCTGCTTCCAGCGACTGACCAGATTGCGCGCGAAACCCCTCTCGGGCAACTCCTCCTCGTGCTTGGGGGGCTCAGAGCCGCGGACCACGTCATCGCGCTCTACCGGCTGGTTCTCGATGATGCCCGACTCGGGGGGCCGGTTGTAGTCGGCCTGGAACTGCTGCGGCTGGCTTTCAAACACGCCAGACTCGGCGGGCGGCGGGGTGAACTCCTTCTTGGCGCGCGGGGAGCCCGGGGTGCGGCTCTCGCTCTCCATCTGGCGGAAACGCTGCGCCATGTTGCGGGCCGTGCCGCGCTCGGGCAGGGCTTCTTCCTGCATGTCGCCAGAGTGGACCACCTCGGCCTTGACCTCCGGGGTGCTCTCGTAGACGCCAGACTGGCGGGCCCCGGCATCTTCTCTCGGCGGGGTGAACTCCTTCCTCCTGCCGGGGGACAGCGGAGGGGACTTGGCGGTACTCTCCAGCTCGCGGAACTTGGCAGCCACGTTCCTGGCAAAGCCGCGCTCAGGGACATAATCGTCCGCCTGTGGACAGCAGCAGCAACACAACCACTGTTAACTCCTTAACTTCATTTGAAACATAAAGAGGCAAGCTCAAATATAATTGGTGAGTAATTCAACTCATGATAGTAATACGTCAAATGAAACATCAAATTTAGTTCAAGGACAACAGACCATAGTACATGGCAACTTCAAACCCTGTTAGAGATTATGTACACAGACTTTTATTTCAGTAGTTTGCACTCAGAAAAAGCTTTGCACAATCCACGCCCCTCCCAAAAACCAACAACTGAAAAAAAAATCAAACAAATAATCAAACTCCCCCTCCAACTACATGCTTAACCAAATGGAAAAGAAACAAAATACACTTTTCTCTAAAAATTTGTTAGAACCCCTAGAAAATGTAAATACAGTACCTTACAACATTCAGAGAAAAGGAGATGAGCAGTAAATAGATAGCAATAAACAGCCTCAACTCCTCCAACAATCATGCCATTTCATATTGAGATTACACTGAAAGTAGCAACACTACAGCTAGAAATTAAATACTGACACAACAATAGGGTGACAAAACAAAATGAGAAAAAGTAGCAGAAGTGACTGGATAAAAAGAGGAGAGTACATTTAAGAGTGACAAATATGACAAAAACTATTCAAAATTTAAGCTAACGGCATTTCACATTTTCAGGTCCAGACAAACTATATTATTAAGCCTTATTGAGACACCAGATATAAGAAACGATCTCCTGGAACAATGACCATGGGCAAAAACATTAACTCTGGTTGGGTTTTTTCCTTGAAGAAGATGGGGTGGGAATGAAAAAAGAGGGGGGTGGGTGGGGGGAAAAAAAGGGGGGGGGGGAGCGGGGTAAATAAGTTTACATCCTCTGAAAATAGTCAGGATGTGGAGGGTTTTTAACCAGTCTACAGAACAACTCAGCAATAACGACAAATCTAATGCAGACAATAACGCATTGCTTTTCCACTCGAGAGAACAAAAACATACCAAAACTTTTTTTTTTTTAAATAAAAAAAAAAGCTTCCACAAAAACCCACAGGGCACGGAATAGACAAAGGAGGAAGTCACAAACAACACCAGAGGAAATCACGTCGATAGGGTGGGGAGAAAATACAAAAAGACAGCCTGAGGGGGCAGGGCAAGATTAACGCCTATCACTATCTGGTCTGTTAATTCCACTGGAAGAGAACAGAATATGTTTTCACAACATTTTCTCATTTATTGTTTTGGAATTACGTTCGTAGAAAACAATTACAGAGTCAACAAAGGGGAAATCCCTTTTCCTCATTAAAATACCTCTGATTCTTGCCACTGGTTCCTTTGTCCCTAACATGAGGAACAGACACTTTGAATATTCAACTGATACAGGATTCACGAGAACAAAATTCACCAAACACAAGAACAACACCAATCACCCCCATTTCTCTCCCCCAAAACTGCGGGGGGGGGGGGGGGGAACTAAAACGAACCAAATGCCTTCTGGTGTTTCCCTATTAAAAAGGCGGTCACTATTCTTTATTTTAAAAAGGTAACCAAAGAAATACCCTTTAACAATTTTCAATACAGGTCTACATGATATATATTTTCTGAGTACCCTACTGAACATAACCAAAGGATTTTTCTTAAAAGGTTGTGTTCCATGGCTGATTTTTCATTCATCCATCAATCAAACTAACAATTTCGATAAACAATCTAAATCTAATGCAGACTAGGAGTTATCGACACATTTAATTAAAAACGTTTTCTCCTTTTTGCAGAATATACGTTCCCTGTGACAAAACGGTAAAACACAGTATTCATGAACCTCAGTGTAACGCTGATTCATAATTTACAACTCAAAAGATTATCGGTTTTCGAAAGAAAAAAAAAACAGAACCTGTTTATCTTTAAAAACAATCAATAAGCCGTTACTTCATTAACATTAAACTCATATATATCTATGGATAAGGAAAGCGAATGCCATTGGTTAGGGGTTTAAATTTGTTAATGAAATGTCAACAGATATTAAAAAAGGGTCAATTCATTGCATGTAAGTCTTGGGACAAGACAGTTGGTTATTGAGTTTGTGAGAACAAAAATCACCGGTGCAATCGTGCGAAATGCGGAAATACCGACAGAAACTTTGCCCGTTTGATATTGTTACTTACTTTCGCACCACTTAAACCCCATAAACCTACATATGAATAGATATATTTAGAGTTGGCCATTTGGGGAGAGTATAGTTAAAAGAATAAAGAATCAAGAAACTTTTTTTAGAAAGACACATTAAAACACACAACAAACATGTAACCCAGAGCATAGAAGTTCACGACCATCAATCAACCATTACAGGTGCTACCTGGTGTTGCGCAGTTTGTCTATTTATTATCATCTCACCCCACCGGGAGAAGAAAAGGGGGCAGGGTGGGGGGGGTGTATAACTAAGTAACCAGTATCTTTATAGTATAATCCTGCTTGTTTTCCCAAACATCTACTTCCTAGTGCGAATGATCACTTAGAAAAATAAGAACTTAATGTGTCATACTCCTGACAATTGAAACGATGAGGTAAATCTATACAATAATCTCCTGTTTCAGCAAAGTCAAAGAACGTGACAAAATAAAGAAAAAAGAAGTAATGTTAGACGCAAGCTGGTCAGAAAGTAGATGTGAGTCCATCCATGCATCAGGAACAGCGAACGACACCGAGGAGGAAGGAAAAAACGAGCCTGTTGTTACCTCAGATTGGCTTACCGATGTGTCTGATTTGACAACATTTGGGTCTTCCGCTGGCTGGTTTTCAAACACACCAGCATCCACGCGCGCCTCATACTGCTCCACATGTCCCCTGGGCTCGCTGACGTACTCCACGCGGCCCGATCTGTCCGGGGTGATCTCCCTCTTGCCTCGCGGGCTCGAGTACTGCGAGTTGTCCGTGCTGATCTGGCGGAACTTGCTGGCGATGTTCCTGGCCATACCCCGCTCGGGCAGCTGCTCCTCCAGGTCTTCTCCAGAGCGCACCACGTCCGGGTTGTACTGAGGCTCCGACTCGAACACGCCGGAATCGGCCTTGCCTTCGTAGTGTTCCACCTGTCCACGCGGCTCCGACACATACTCCACCTGTCCGGAGCGGTCCGGGGTGATCTCCCTCTTTCCAGACGAGGACGGCGTGCTCTGGTTCTTCTCCAGATCCTTGAAGCGGGCTGCGACATTCCGGGCAAATCCCTGCTCAGGCAGCACCTCCTCCTGCGCGGAGTACGACGTGACCACCTCGGGGTTGGCCTGGGGCTCCGACTCGAACACTCCGGCCTCGGCTTTCCCCTCGTACTTCTCTACGACGGTCCGGGGCTCGGACACGAACTCTCCACCCGTCCCATGGGCCGGCGGGGTGATCTCCCTCCTGTTGCGCGGCTCGTTGCTGTTCTCTACTTGACCACTCAGGAATTTGGCCCTGATGCTAGACGCGGTGCCCACAGCGGGCAGGTCGGCCGTCATATCCTTATCGGCCTCGCGGGCCACATCGTCCCGGCGGACGGGCACACTCTCGTGCACCCCTTCCTCTTCCTCTTCTTCGTTCTGCCACTGGGTGAAGGCCTGGGGCTCGCTCTCGTATACCCCGCCCTCGGCGGACAAAACTTCCTGCTGGATATCAACCTGGGCGCGAGGGGGTGGCTCGGGCTCCCCCTCAAACCTCGACTTGACCGACGACATCTCTGAGAAGTGAACCTGAGAAATGAACGGGCATCGCTGTAAAACGAGAACTAAAAAAAAAAAAATTTAAATAAATAACATAATCCATTATTAACATAGGCATGCTAGCAGAAGCTGAAAGCATGCTTAATGACATGCAGAACCGCGAATTGACAGGCACAGATGCATAGATTCAGAAAAATAAATGCGAATCAGTTACTCAATGGAATCGTAAAGATTACACAATGATGTGAAGTCATGAAAATGTGAAGTCTAAAATTTTGGGACCGAATGAACAAGAGAAATGCACCAAGCGCATTTGTGGGTGTGAAACGTCTCAGAGAGGCACCGTCGCCCCCTCTAAGATGGGGTTTTGATTCTCTTCTGAGATCTTGGTTTCCTTACTTTTCACACAGCTTACTTCCAAGTCGTTGTTCATTGGCCGTATCCCTTGACTGACTGTATAGTCAATAACTGCAGTTGCCCCTCTTTTATTGAGACAATTGGAAATGTTTCTAAAGCGATTTAACAATTCCACAAAACATCGCATATCTTGGAGCTAGTAGATCATGTGAATCCAAGGACATAAAGTCATTGTCGCACGCCAGAAACATTGAACTGACACATCCTCGAAACATCAGCTTAACCCATCAGAAGAGCAACACGAGTAGAGCCTTGCAATTGAAAGTGTCCCAAAAAGCATACTACATAAACCCTTTTCCCGTACACTTTAGGGGAAGACGGAGTTCCAGAAAAAAGAGCCGCTATCAGGAAACGAACTGTAAGGGAATTAAATTTCCATTCCCATACTTATTTCTTGTGCTTCATTTAATCTGAATTTTCGCATATTTTCTTTCTAAGCATAATGAAGCATGCTCTTGGAGGCGTTTAAGGGGGGTGACATTTCCTTTTTAAGAAGGGCGTGTTTTAGCATGTGCATGCGATTGTGTGGGATGAGACGAATGATTCATGCGTGACAGAACAAACACGGAGACAGACGGATGAATAATATAGCACAGCGACCGGTGAGAAGACCGACCGGCCGTCCCACGAAGCACTCACTATATCCTGCTCTTCTGCTCCTCTGTTGTTGTAATCAGCATTCTGACTATTCCGATCCGCCCTAGGAGAGAATTTACACAAAACATTACTATAGTTTGTTTTGCTGTAGTAAAGGCTTATATACGGCACTAGCAACACAATTAGGTCATATCGGTGCCAAAAGATTAAGAGGTGTAACAAGAGAGCAACAAACACAAAAAGGAAGAGAGATTTTTCTCTTTTTTTGTAAGGGTTTTACGGCACTTGCAACACAATAAAGTCATATATGTGCCGAAGATTAGATGGTTACAAGGGGGTAACAAACACAAAAAAGAGGAGAGTTAAGGACGACAGATGTTTGATAGGAAAGAAGGAGTAAACCACACCAGAGCACCCCCCAACCACCTGCTTACAACGGTTTGCTTGGCAAGTGCGAGTTTTTATAAAACATCAAGCACTTCAGTTCAAGGTTGGAGTAAGCAGAGGTATCTCGATAACAATATGATAATGGCCATTTAGCGTAAGGAAAAGCAAGGAAGACACAATAGACGGAAAGAAAAGATATAATGTAGAGAAGTCACACCTGCTGACAGCAAGAGGTTTATAAGAATGGACGTGGCAAGTAATGTTGACGATAGAGTATAATATTAAATGCCAAGATGGGTTAGAAACAATTTGCAGAATATAAAATTATCTTTTTTAAACTTCAGAATCATAATTTGTTTTAGTAGAGGTTTTAAGGCGCTCGCAACTGCATAAGGTCATATGAGCGCGAAGGGGTGGATGTTAACAGAGAAGTCCTTACAGGGAATCGGGCTTACTCTGCTCATCTCTCTAGCTTCAACAGTACAAAATCTGTTTCGACTTTCAAGGCACCCCGGAAATAGCGAGTCACAAGAGTGTGACAAACATACAAAAGAAGTAGAGGAAAATGACGATAGCATGGATTAGGAAAGAAAAAGCAGCAGTTTCCTGTTGTAGTTTAGGCACAGTTATGAGCATAACATTGTTGAACCAGCCCATTTACAATTCTACTGTTCATAAGAACAAGAAATGTCTCCCCTTTGGCAATGGCCTAAAGACACTTCAGCCAGTGGCACCGCCCCGGGGGGTCAGAATCATAAGTACATTGAAACATCATAAGATATACCGGAGAAAGTGACCCATAGTTCTCTTTTAGGATGAAAGGAAATGTAATTCGTTGTCATAAATATATTTAGAGCGTTTACGGTATAAACATGCTGGCGTTCAACCATAGACATGATAACATTCGAAGACATGGGGGAAAAATCATTTAATGCCCGATAGACAAGAGGGAAATTGAGTCTGCGTAACAGCAACATCCTTCAACCAGCCAACCCATATTTAACTTTGCGTGAAAAGAAGTAAATTGCCTCGAGACCGGTCATTTACTGCAGGGAATAAGAAAGATGGACAAACATAACAGAGGAAAGAAAAGAAGTGATGCCTACCAGTGGCGCAAACAAGCAATCCCCAAAACAACGTGAAGAAGGGAAATTGATTGCTTAAATTTGCGAGCTAGTGAGAGACAAGTACAGACGCAACGGCCAGCATTTAGTTTTAGTAAGAGTTTCACGGTACTTGCACCAAATTAAGGTCATCTAAGAGCCGAAGAATAGATTACGTGTTACGGGCCAGCATTTAGAGCATGGCAGGGAAACAACAACAACAACAACAACAACAACAACAACAACAACAACAACAACAACAACAAAGATGGATAAGAAGAAAACTACCATCGACAAGTAAATACCTCATAGCCCGCTAACCCCTATAAACAATTAACCACAACACACAACAAGCACTGCACCACTTACCATTGGTCTGATGTGTAGCTCTCAGAGGTGATGTTGGAGTTTTCAAGACCACCGTCTGAAAAATAAAATTATAAAACACATGTCATATTGTACAGCCTGATTTGTTCCAGTTTAAGGCGACACTGTGAAAACGTGGCAGAATCCACACAGGAACAGACTAAGATGAAAGTTATATAGAAAGGAAGAAGAAGGACTATACAACATCAAAGAATGCCCCATGAAATGATCCGTTACAGGAGATCACACAGAGACCCATCAATCAACCTTCTTAACATCTTCAGGGTTTCCATTTTGAAGATCAATACTGATGAGAGCGAAGCAATCTCCACAGAGCTCATCGACATAATAATAGGCATTTGGCATTTAGTGCATGAAAAAAAAAGAAGAAAAAAACACACACATAATATAGAAAAGGAAAAGAAGGGCCTACCAGTATTTCCCCCCAATAACACCCTTCAAGTGCAAGCAGCACACCCACATACTAGATACCGTACAGAAACAAGGGTGCTATAATCCAACGTCAGGAACGAGCGGGACAAAATCAAACTCCCAGAAGACACAACCTCAGCTGAGAGCGATAATCCATCTCCAGAAGAGCAGACGCCTGAATACGAGATACAGCACAGCGAACGTTTCTTAGCATGCACACGTAATAAATAAACGGAACAGCAGAGCATCAGTCAGAACGAGAGGCTTCCGTGCATTCTCAAAACGATAACGATGAGATGAGGCAAGAATCAGATTACAATCAGGACAGGCACGGCGGTCTACGTTGTATGCATCACAGAGCAAGTAAAAGGGACATAAGGTCTAAATGTAACATTTGTAAATCTGTTACGCCTCCATCTACAGAGGGGGCGTGCTATTTCGGTCCTGTCTATCAAGGCAAACCAAGGCTGAGTGAGATGCAACATCCCAGCATAGAAAATGACACGCTCAGACACGTTGCTATTGTTACTTTGTGCTGTCAAGAAGACGTGAGTGGTGCTTACAATTTTATATCGACTGTTACTGTTTTGGTACCACGATGGCGAGTCAGAGTCAGGGTTCCAGAGCATTGTAGCACTATGCAGATGATAAGCATTCATCTTTATGTCAAAATCTGTTCATGACAACTGAACAACCATCTCATTTCGTTTATTTACTCTTTAAAAGCATGGCTGTAACTTTGTACAAAAAGCTCACGGTAACTATTCTGTCCTTTTCTCTACCTCTGCGTGTGCACTGTTAACCCTGTCAGGCGAACGACATGCGATATCGCGAGTTGTCACTGATATTTATCGCTCAACTCAAAACGAATCCGATAACTGAATGAAGTCACTAACGCTCCGCCCCACAGCGTAGTCTATTGGAGACAGACCATTAACACATCCAACAATCGAGTCCGGCCATAACAATAATATAGTCATGAGCGAGACAATTTCATCAATGACATTATAATTGTTTTAAGAACCCATGATCGGTAGAGGCGTTTTGTCATCCTCAAGTGCCAGATATGAGACAGACATTGGTGATCATGGTTCGCAAATCATTCCTTTACTCGGATGCTCTCAAAAATGATTTATTATCCTGATATTTTCCTTGTCACCGTTTAGGCTTTCCAAGTAAGTTGCTCAGGATCAACCCCTGCCTCGTTCGCCTTCAATTTTACCGGTGTGAGATAGACGTTCAAGGCTTTTATGTCTATTCAATTCAAGAGTCTCAGAAACTGTATCTTTGTCTCTTCCCAATTGTTTTCACCAGTGGGCGACATTTCGTACAAACAACAATAACAACAACAACAACACAAACAAACAAGCGCACACACACACAGAGAGAGAGAGAAAGAGAGAGAGAGAGAGAGAGAGAGAGAGAGAGAGAGAGAGAGAGAGAGAGAGAGAGAGAGAGAGAGAGAGAGAGAGAGAGAGAGAGAGAGAGAACTAAACAAAATAGCGTTGTCAGCTGTATCTCCATGAGAGAGTTTTTGTGCTTCTAGTCTTCTTTACTTAAAAGTCAAAAAGTTTTTGTTGGTGCTGGTGGATTTTACAAAATTAACTCGCTGTTTATCTTTACAGCGATATCGAGGGAGTGGACACGCTAACACTATCTCACTTCCAAGAAAAAAAATGTTTTAAAGATTACAGCTTCGATTGACGGATAGTAAATGATTTACGCCCCCATCAACACCATTTCAACCATTTAACAAGAGGGCTGCTTCGACTTCGATTGCCTCGGCTGATCAAGGAACAGTATCCCGGCAGAAAGAGGGAGACACCCGACGAAACAGACTTCTATGAGTGGAAATCGACCTCGGCAGGCAACAGTTTACTAATACAATACAGACGCCACTCTACTGTTTTTGAATTTGTTTTACTTTTTCCTTACAATAATAAAGAGAACATAACTAGCTAATTATGCCACTGTTGTTTTGGTTGGGGGGTTTTTTGTGTATAATCAACTCTGTAATCCTTCCCTTTCCTTGCGACGCAGGGGAGAATATCGTCGTCTTACATCCACTAAGGAAAAGAAACTCTTTATAAAGCATTAGTCTGATTACTTACAGAACTGGTGTCCCTTCGGACCATTGCGAGGTACTTACTAAATGGAACTCAGACCTTGACGTCATACGCAACCAAATAAATTTTGTTTTGCATTAGTAAAGACTAAGTACATTGACACAATAAGGGTATTTAGGGCCAAGAAAGTGAAAGACTGCTGGACAAAAACAACGGAACAAGTAGGACCTAACAGTAGCAACCTCTAACCATACATCAAAGGACCCTTAATAATTTACGTTTCGTTTTAACATGTTGGTTCGAAACGCAGCATACGATTACTTTTACCTGAAACAAATCACTAAAAGCTGCGAATGTGGTCTCAGACATACACAAACTAAATTCAATGTTGTCGGGTATTACCTCTGGTATAACCATCAAATCGATAAAGTGGGCATCTCCAAATATTATAAGCTAGTTTAATCAATTGTACATATTTTCAGGATTATATAGAAGTACATCGGCACTTAAATGGCCATTTAAAGACGTGGAAAAAGCCAGACGGATATCGATGAATAACAGAAGGAGAGAAAAGAAGAGGTAGACCTACCACTGGGGCCTCCAGCCACCCACCCGAAGGGTGTCGATACCTCAAAAGTTATTTTAGTTTAGTTAGAATAAAAATGAAGCACGTCAACTAGAGAAAAAATAAGATCACGAGACAAAAACAAAAGGGAACAGAGAGAAAGCGAGAGCGAGCGAGAGAGAGAGAGAGAGAGAGAGAGAGAGAGAGAGAGAGAGAGAGAGAGGAGA